GGTTTGCCTTCCTCCGGTGTGCTACAACGCTGCGATCCGCGCGTGCGGTAATGGGGAGCAGTGGCCGCGGGCTTTGGCGTTGATCAGTGAGATGCGGAAGGCGACGTCGTTGCCAGACGTCATCAGCTACGACGCTGGGATCAGCGCGTGCGAGAAGAACGTCATGTGGAAGCAGGCTCTGGCGCTGCTCGACGAGATGTGGGATGCGAATCTGGAGCCCGATGTCATGATCTACAGCGCTGTGATCCGCGCGTGCGGGAAGGGCGATCAATGGCAACGGGCTTTAGCGCTTCTCCGCGAGATGTGGGAGGCGAAGCTGGGGCCCGACGTCAAAAGCTACTGCGCTGGGATCAGCGCTTGCGAGAAGGGCTTGCAGTGGCAGCGGGCTCTGGGGCTGCTCTCTGAAATGTCAGGAGCGGCCGTCGAGCCAGACACTGTCAGCTACACTGCTGGGATCAGCGCGTGCGCAAAGAGCGACCAGTGGCAGCGATCTTTGGCGCTGCTCAGCGCGACGCGGGAGGCGCAATTGGAGTCCGACGTAATCTTTTCTCGTGCAATGCCGGGCGCAGTGCGTGGTAGACGGGCGCCGTTGCCAAGTGCCAAATCATCGGTCCTGCTGCGCCCCCCCACGGTGTCCCCAGGCGCTCCGTGCGCCCCGAAAGAGCTTCCAGGGGGCGCCCACGACCGCGAGACGGCACCAGACCCGAAGAAGGCCCAAGAGGGCGCCAAGGTGGCCCCGATGGGCTCCCACATGGCTCGTCGCTGGTCCCCCCAGATAGCTTGAATGGTTGGATTCTTGACGATTCGCGTATCCGTATCCTGTATCCCCACCAGCCCATCCAAAAGCAGTCACCAGGCGAGTTGCCCTGATCAGGGATGTGCAGAAGCATGAGATCCAGCAGTGGAGCGCATGCGTCTTCGCGAACTTCTCGAAGGAGGAGGAGGACGAGGAGGAGGTTGACGAGGAGGCGAAGTAGGAGGGCATGAGGGAGGAGGATTAAGAGGAGCTTGCGGAAAATGAGGACGACACGGAGGCACGCGGGCAGGAGGTATCCGGTTTCCATGGGAAATCGCGGATTTCCGCCGCCGAACGAGGCGACACCGGCCGCATTTTGGGGAGGCCCCCCCCGATCCATGGATTTGGCGACCGCGCGACAAACCCGTGGATCGCTAATCCAGGTTTGCGCGCCCCCGAAGGGAGGAGGAGGGAGGAGGAGCTTGAGGGAGGCAGGAGGAGGTACGAGGAGCCAGGGGGAGGCAGCAGGCGCACCGTGGATCTGCGTGGGTCACCGGTGCGCCGCGTGCCCTGGCACGCGGGGAGGTAGAAGTGGGAGGAGGCAGGAGGTAGGAGGAGCAGAAGAAGGAGAGATAGGAGGAGTCAAGAGGAGGTAGGAGGTAGGAGGCAGGAGGTAGGAGGAGGTAGGAGGAGCAGAAGTAGGGAGGAGTCTGGAGGGTTCTTGAAGACATGTGGGGAGCCATCTTGAACCACCGTTGGCTATCTCGAGCGATCCTGGAGGCCATCTTGAGACCTCTGGGGCCCTCCCGCAGCCGTGTTGGGCCATCTTGGGCGCGGCCCCTCCCCCTTCCAGGCGCAGGGGGAGGGGGGAGGGGGAACCACCTCCGCGATTGGGAAGAAGGGGGTTAGCATGAGGACGAGCAGTGGATGGGAAACATGTTGCCAAATAATTTCCAGATGTCTAAAACATGTGTTTTCTTAAACATGTAAAACACACGTTTTAAACATTTCCGGGACATTTTTAAACACATTTTAAATTCAATGGTAGGACTGCTAGGGTGTCCATTGTCGTGACATCCGCACGGTTCGCAGAACGAGCTCGCCAGAGCACTCACGCCCAGAGGGTTGTTGGGATTTCTCATTTTCTTTGTCGGCGCTCGCAATTTCTCTGCTCCAGATGCTTCCAAGACGACGGCCCCAGAGAACTAGAAGAGCCCCAGGACGGCTTCCAGAGGCAAAATTGTAGATGCTCATGTTTTCAATTATTGTGAAGGCCTCGCGGTCGGTGCCGCCGACCCTGGAAGAAGACCCCCATGATGAAGGTGACAGCTGGAGTTGTTTGGGAAGGTTGGGACCCGACGCCCCAAAAAGTTCCTCTGAAGCCCCATGAGGTTCCCAAGAAGCGTATGATGAGGAGCACAGCTTGGCCAAGATATCTACCCGTGCTTTCGCAGCCGCTGGAGGAGGAAGGGGGGGAATCAGGAGAGGTTGCAGGAGGAAGAGGTGGAGGAGGAGGAGGAGGAGGATAACAACAACAGCAACAACACCAACACCAATACCACCACCACCACCACCACCACCACCACCACCACCACCACCACCACCACCACCCACCACCACCACCACCCACCACCACCACCGACAACAACAACAACAACAACAACAGCAACAACAACAACAACAACATCAACAACAACAGCAACAACAACAACAACAACAAAACCAACAACACAACAACAACGCAGCAACGAGGAGGGAGGGAGGAGGAGGGAGGAGGAGGAGGAGGAGGAGGAGGAGGGAGGAGGAGGAGGGGGGAGGGAGGAGGGGAGGAGGAGGAGGAGGAGGAGGGGGCATCTTGGGAGCCTTTTCGGGGCTCTGGGAGCCTCCTCAGGCTTCATGGCGGTCTCTTGCCGCCATCTGGGACCGTCTTGGGGGTATCTTTGGATCATCTTAGGTCAGAGGGGGTCATCTTCGACGCCTTTGAATGCATCTTGGATCGTCTTGGCGGTAATGCAGCGCCATCCTGACCATCTGGGAATCGAGGCTGGTCGTCTCTTGGAGAATTCTGCGGGAGCCCTCTGGGGGGTCGTCTCTGGGAGAATTCTGGGAGCCCCCTGGGGGCTCTCTTGGGGCGTTCGGGCGATTTCAGGCCCCTCTTGGATTAGGTGGCCCACGGCCCATTCCGCCACCGTGCCTTGGTATGATACCGTTGGGCACCTTCTGAGAACCCTCTTGGAGCTCTCTCCGGGCTCTGGAGGCGTCTTGGAGCTCTCTCCGGGCTCTCCGAGAGTCCCCAAAGGCTCGAAGAGGGGCCCCCAAAGGGCACCGAGAAGCTCTACAGGGCTTAAGAGGGCCCATGAGGGCTCCCGAAACAGCCCACCAACGTTTCCTGGTATGATCCTGTTGAGGGCTTGCTTGGAATTCTGTGGGAGCCCTCTCGGGGCTCTCTTGGGGCGCTCGGGCGATTTCAGGCCCCTCATGGATTGTCGAAGACGCCTACGGCGAATCATCGCACCCCCTGCCTGTTGAAATCGCCCATGTGGCCGAGCGTTGTGGCCAGAGCTCTGCCAAGCTATCAGACCATGTGTTCCCCCCAGCCGTTGTGGAAACCCTTCGGAGAAAACTTGTGGGAGGATGGCGGGGAAAATCAGGAGGAGGAGGAGGAGGAGGAGGAGGAGGAGGAGGAGGAGGAGGAGGAGGAGGAGGAGGAGGAGGAGGAGGAGGAGGAGAGGAGGAGAGGAGGAGGAGGAGGAGGAGGAGGGGGCATCTTGGGAGCCTCTATGCACACTCTTGGGGCCTCCTGGGGGCCTCCCGGAGAAGGACGTCGGTTCCCAGGCAGTGGATATGGACAAATCCCCGCCGCGCACCGACGGCCCCCAGAGGCAACATTCTCTGAGTCCCCGCGAGGTTTTTCGACGAGTCCTGCGGTCTCGTCTTCCGGGGCGTCTCACAGCCCACGACGGCCCGAGGGGCCTCCCCGACCGCCCCAAGAGGGCCCGGGAGGTTCCCGGCCGGGGGCCCCGGGACAGCCCAGGACAGCCCCAAGTTGCCCCAAGCAGCCCAGACGGTTCGAAGAGGGCCCCGATGGGGGCCCCGAGAGGGCGTCCAAGGTGGTCCAGAAGGGAGGCCGGAAGAGGCCCGAGAGGGCTCCGAGCGTGGCGCGCAACGGCCCGAGGCCGCTCAAAGTGACGGCTCCGAGAGAGCCCTGCGGAGCCCTCCGGGGATCTCCTGGAGCCCCCGAGGACCTGGCTGGGCGGCTCTGGAGCGCCCTAGGTGGCCACCGCAAGGGAGGCCACGAGAGGACCGAGAGAGCCCCAAGAGGGACACATAACATTAAATCGGGCCTGTCCCTCTACAGGGGGAATATTCAAAAATAGTAAACAAATAGTCTGGGCACTATTTGTTTTGACTATTTTTGGGCACATGTTTGAATATTTTTTGAGTATTTCTTTTTTTTCGTCCAAAATCCCCCTGTAGGGGGGACAGGCCCGACCTAAACATAACAGCCCCGAGAGTTGTAAGTTTGAAGGCTGCTCAAAGTGACGGATCTGAGAGCCCTCTGGGGGACCGCTTATGCTTGTGACACCTCACAAGCGCAGCCCGCAGGTTCTTCTACCGCGAGGGTCCACACCTCAGGTTCACACCAGTCATTTCTCAGCTACAACGTTGGGATCAGCGCGTGCGAGAAGAGCGCGCAGTGGCAGCAGGCTCTGTCGCTGCTCAGCGAGATGTGGGAGGCGAAACTGAAGCCCGATGCCATTAAAACAGCACTGTTGGCCACTCCGCATTCGACAGAGCCTTCGGGCGGTAACACGGCCTCCCCTTTGGGACTTCAAGTCGTCCCACAGTACCTTGAAAACGGTCTTCTTCTCCTCTTCCTCCTCCTCCTCCTGGCACAAGGGGGAAGCGAAATCTGGCGGCGCATTGTCAAACTCACTGTACGTTTGTTTCCCTCACACCACAGAAGACATGGCGATGGATCTCCTACTTTCGGCGCGTCTGTCCCTTTTGATTTCAGACGGCAAGGAGAGAGCTCCCCCGGGCGGTGCCCCACCGACCCTCTCGTCGGCAGAGCTGGAGACCTTCGCGGAGATGGGAACTTGATCGGGCTCAGGCAGCAGGCCGCAGCGGTGGAGCAAAAGGCATCGTGTTCATGAGCTCACTTCGTTCCACCAGAATCGATGCTGCCTTGAGTCCTGGTGTGGCCCCTCTCCCCATTGTTGGTGAAGATAAGTGGCTTCGGAATGGCGCCACCGCCGAGCGCATGGAGGAGCCAACACCCTTACCAGAGGATCGGCAGGCTGAGCGGTCGATGCCATCGACTGGCGAGACGGACCGCGCTTTCATCGAAAGGATGTTCACGAAGTTCGACGACTCATTCGTGGAGCTCAGGGCGGCGGGTTTGCGCGGTGACATGGGCAAAGTGCACAAGCAGCTCATCTCCCATCAAGGCCAGATTGACCATGGCAGGAGGCACATGGACAGCCTTGACAAGCATGTGATGTATCTGACCAGATGCTGTCCGCATGGGCGACTTCAACGACCGGTTCGCCGGGAAGGCTGAGATGGGCAAGCGCTTTGCGGACATCGAGGCGCAGACGGCGATTCTGAAGGCGGAACAGTTGGCTGCGCAGAAGGAGATTGAGACCCTGAAGAGAAACCCTGTACCAGGACCCGCTGTGGGAGGTGGGCCTCTTCCGCCTCGTGGGCCCCGCTGGGCTCAAACCCCACGTAACTTGCGGGACATCTTCGTAATGACGAACCTCCGCTGGAACGTTAGGGATGTGGACTGCGAGAGGGCGGCCAGGGCTTTCTTGGCGGAGGTCGGAGCTGACCAGAACGACATCAGCGAGTTGAAGGCCCCCTGCGATTACGGCAGCCTGGTGGAGGTCAAATCGAGGCTACTGCGAATACAAAAGCTCGCGATGAACGGCTTGTCAGGCCAGCTTATCTGGATGGGCACGATCAGCACGAAGGAGGAACGTGCCCCAGCGAAGGCGTGGACAGGTTTGAAAGAGCAAGTACCAGACGTGGACAAGGCAGTGAAGGCCGACGCCACGGTCGCCTTCAGCGACCGCAGCCGCCAGGTCTACATCGACCATGCGATGACCTTCAGGTTCTCGCTTGGGGAAGTGAAGTGGGCGGCCTGCGAGGAGGGCGGTCCAGTGCACTGGTGGCAGTGCTCTCTGAAAGAGGTGGTGGCGAAGGCCACCAACTGACAGCCTGTCTGGAGTAATGCATGTATTGCTGCCCACAACGTCTAAGGAAGGGTGGCACGATGGATGGGCTCACTGCCATCATCTAGGGTCCAGAGTGCAGGTGCTGGGTCATCTTCGGGTTCTTAGAGGCCGACCACGTCAGGCGACAGTTTGCGCATTGCTGTCAGTTCCGACGAGTTCGTGGAGGCCCTTTCCACCTACGCTACTACCCAGGTAAAGGCTCTTGGGCGCATTCTGTTTTAATTAATGGGAATTCGAAACCACGTGTGATGAGTTGCGGATGTTGCGAGAGATCCTGCAGACTTGACCTGGCCGTTCGAAGCTCTGACAACCAGAGGTGTGCGAAGAGTGTTTTGTTCAGCCACCTTCCTCCCAACGGGCGCTTCGAGGACGGTTGTGCTGAAATTGCAGCGCTCTTGAAGTCTATGCCCAACGGCTCAGATCTGATCTGGGCTGGGGACATGAACGCGGACAAATTCGAACCGTGACAGAATAGATGGAACATATTCGCAAAGACGGTGGCCTCCTTTGGGCTCTCTGTTCAGGCGCCCGCCTTCCGCGAGGCCCACGAAGCACTCCGGTGCACCAGAAAACCAGACGGAGCTCAGCTCGCTGAACACGCTTGGATTGATCATGTCGTTATGCCATCGACCTTGCCTGCGGACACGTATGTGCAGTGATGAGGTTGCCCAGGGGAGCATGCTTGCATGTTCGAGATTTGCCTGGTGGAGGTCAGGCGCCCTCGGACGCGTGCTTCCGCGAGCTTGGGCGCGTCCAGATCTTCAGGACTGCCGAGCAGCTGCGTCCCTCGATCTGCGAGTTCTTGTGTCTCGACGATAAGCGTGCGCCAGATTCTTGAGGCCACTTGGGGCGAGGAGAAGGACGTCGAGGTTTGGGATGCGGCCGCCGACAAAACCCTTTCCAGGGATAGGAGACTGGTTTCGGAGCCGCTTTGGATCAAGGAGCTGATGAGGAGAGTGAGGCGCGAGCTTTTCGGAGGTTTCCAGGATCGAGAAACAGCGGAATCTGTGCGGGGCCTGGGCGTGCTGCGCAAGGATATCGTCGAAGGAAGACTTGCTCCGTCCTGGCGCTCCAGGGCCAGGGTCTGGAGGCCAGCGGAGGTTTTGGCGTCTTCGCGGGACTTCCTGGAAGGGCGGGCCCAGGCCAAACGTTCCGGCGGTTTGTTTAGGAGGGCAGGAGGAACGCGAAGCGGGAAGCGAAATCCGGCGGGGCATCTTCAAGCATATTGTCGTCGCCGACCCTGCCAGGCGGATGCAGTTGGCTTTCGCAGAGTACTGCGGCAGGTGAACCTGCCGCTGGCAGAGATACCTGATGAACTTGCACTGTTGCGCCGCATTGGGATTTCGAGAAACCACGTGGTCCCGCTTGCCCCCCGTGTTATCCAGGGCGCCCAGGGAGACGTCAAACGCACCGCCGAAAAAAGGGCCGGTTTGGAGCAGCACCAGCAGCGGTTTCGGCTTCAGTGTGGACGGATAGAACGGTGCCGTGTCTTCCGCGAGCTCTGTCGAAGTGGAATGTCAGGTCGCCCATGACATTCAAGACCACGATCGGGGACAAGTCGTCTAGTGTCGACAGTGAAAGTCAGACAGGAGTGCTAGCACTGTAGTGCGCCATAGGTAACATATGAGAAGATCGAGCCATGCATCGTAGCATATTCTAAGAAACATGGGATGGAGGATATGGTGAAGGGCTTGGGGGGGGGCGGGCAGATTCAGCAGGTATACTTTATGGTCTCCCAGAGTTTCGAGATTGGGAGGGGTCGGAACGGTCTCGCTGCCGTGGCCGGCGGGGACATCAAATCTCACCGCGATTCCACAGGCTATGCGTGTCTTGCCAGAGGTTTGCTTGGTCGGCATGTTCCGTTTGGCATTGTGGCGGCGCTAATTTAGCCCCACGTGGAGCCCCGTGTGCAGATCGCAATTCTCGGTGAAGTGTCGGATCCAATACCTCAGACCAGAGGCCTCCATGCAGGTGCCTCGCCAGCTGGGCTCTGCGCTCGCGTGTCGGTGGATGACGGGCTTCACAAGGCGCAGGATGTGGGTGGAGAGGGGGATGGGTTATAAGTTCAAATCTGCTCGTCTCACGTTTGTGTCCTGGCCCGGCAACTCTTCGCTTTCCCCAGTTCTGCCGAGACCGCCATCGAGATGATGAGTCTCTTATAGAACGAATTGAGAGTTAGACACAGGTTGCAAATTAAACCGTCAAAGAGTTTTGCGCCGCGTTCGTCGCCAGTCTTGTGCCCCGACAGCGAAAATAGGGACAGTCATGAAATAGTCTTGTCCAGGACGGCTACGACCAGGATGCTAGGTCCCACCGTGTCCGTCAGAAGTCCGAACTCCCACGACCTCAACAGGACCTGGGCGGCCTTCAGGAAGGTGTTTTGGGAAAACAGTCGTTTCTGGTGCAGCTCGTTGATCCCGATAAACAAGCGACTCTCAAAGGTCGACGGGGGCATGACTGGCATTCTTCGCTCTCGTTCGGCCGCCTGGGCCCCGAATCAGACGGCTACTCGCTTCCTGGACTCGAAGCAGTCGAAGGTGTTGACGTGGATGCTGAGGTTCAGGAGGCTACCAAATGAGGAGACCAGGACTTTCTGCAGTTGGCGCGCGCTTAGAATTCGGGGGCTCTTGCAGGTTCAGTGGGCTCGGATTTTCCTTCAGTCCGTTCTTTCCTGGTTGACCCACCTCCAGAGAAGCCAGGATTCTTTATTCGATCAAAACTTTATATCACATCTTTCAGGAACAGGGAACGGACTGGGTAGCCATCCAGCGCCGCCAATGGATTTCCCCAAACAGCTGTAGCAGTAAGCCTTGCATTCGAGGTGCGAAGGGCAGGGTTATTCGCTGGGACAGCGGATGGGTTAAGACGTTCGACCCTGATGGCTCCAAAGATCCCCAGACCTCGCATGCCCTCTCTCTCCGCCTCACTTCGGTGGCAAGGATAAGGTTCTTGCGCGCTAAACTCCCAGCTTTCATTCCCATGGGGCAGCCAGGGACCCGCTTTGGGGAACGCCTCACTCACTCACTCACTCAGTCATTCACCAACTCGTTCACTCACCCACTCACTCCTCACTCACTCACTCATTCACTCATTCACTCATCCACTCACTCATTCATTCACTCACCCATTCATTTACCCACTCCTCCTCCCTCCCCTCCCCCCATTCACCCTCCCAAGAAATCCAATAGAGCCCCTGGAGAAACTCCAGCGAACAAAACTCCCCAGGAAGTGGTCCAAAAGACAGAAGAGAGACCGCAGACGCCAAATGGGGAACCACATGCGTTTGAGTGACTTTTCGGTGTCCTTCGCACCTTCCAGCTTGAGGAGCACTGCCCCGACACCACGAGTCTTTCCAGAAGCTTCTGGACGGCCGCGCGCGCGACCCAACTGGTGCCTCAGCGATGGCGCCGTCAGGGCCCCACGAGGGCCCAGGAGAGTCCCGAGACGGCCCGAGACGGCCCTCACAGGTTTGCAAGATCCTCCTCCTCCTCCTCCTCCTCCTCCTCCTCCTCATCCTCCTCCTCCCCTCCTTCCCCCTCCTCCTCCTCCTCCTCCTCCTCCTCCTCCTCCTCCTCCTCCTCCTCCTCCTCCTCCTCCTCCTCCTCCTCCAGCGAGCCCTTGCGAGTACACGGGCGCTTCCGACAGCTCCGGAGGGCCTCTCTGGTGCAGCCCAAGTGGGCCCAAGGCAGCACCCGGACAGCGCAGCAGGCGCCACAGCAGCCCAAGACATGTCGAGCGGGCCCCTCGGCACAGTCAGAAGGCCCAGTCGTCTTTCAGATGGTTCACTCGAGCCACCACGACAGTAGGACAGCAGGCGGGCAGACGACCAGGCAAGCGATCCTCACCAGTTCGCGTAGCCCCCTGGAGCTTTCACAGGCCCGTCATTTCTCCCCCTCTCGCATCGCTCCTTGCTCTCCTGGTATCTCGTTCCCTTCACCTGGCCCCTCACTCCAGGCTGCTCGTTCCTGCCTCCTTCCTCCTCGCATTCCCTCCTCCGCGTGAACGACTTTTGGCAGCGTTTCCGCCATCACATAACATGCCACATGCCACTTCGGACGTGGTTCGTTGACGGTAGACTGCGGGTCATCCTTAACAGCGTGGTAGGGAGCGGCGCGTCCCAGAAGGGAGGCTGCGCCAAGTGGCTCAAATCGGCCCCGGCGGGCCCCGACGGGTTCCGAGACGGTCCAAGATGGCATGGGACGCCTCCAAACGGCCCAAGGGGTCGCCAATATGGCCTTCAGACGGCCCGACAAGGCCCCACAGACGGCCCAGGATCGCTGCAAGATGCCCCACGCCAAAATCATGGATTTCCCGTGAGGTTTTTACTGATTTGGGCGTTCTTGCCTTTTCGGGCTTCCGACACTCTAAGACGGCCCAAGGGACCCCCAGACAGCCCAAGAGGGCCCAAAGACCGCCCAAGCGGCCCCAAGGCGGGTCCCGGCGGACTCCTAGACGGCCCAAGATGGCATGAGACGCTTCCAGAGCACAAGGGGTCGCCAATATGGCTTTCAGATGGCCCAACCGGGCTCCACGAGGCCCCCCAAGAGGGTCCCGAGAGGCCCAAATCTATATACATATAATATATATAGATATATAGATATATATATATATATATATATATATATATATATATATATATATCGGAGGTGAGGGGGTGAGATCGAAGTGGAACGGAGAGCCCCCCTACCGGGAAATCGATTTCGGTTTCGTGTTCGTGCGTGCCGTGCGTGCGGGCGAGGCGAAGCTGCGTGGGCGGGCGAGAGAAAGTCTCCTGTGGCTGAGGCGCGGCCGGACCAAATGACTCCCTTCCGGGCGGCCGGGGCCCGCGGTGTCCCGCCGGTGTCCCGCTGGTGTCCCGTGTGGCTGAGGCGCGGCCGGACCAAATGACTCCCTTCCGGGCGGCCGGGGCCCGCGGTGTCCCGCCGGTGTCCCGCTGGTGTCCCGTGTGGCTGAGGCGCGGCCGGACG